TGGCGCTACCACCTCCAGCGCCGCGGAACGCCCACCAAGTCCTCCGTGTACGCCAGCCCACCAAGCCGCAGGGTGACCGGGGGCTCAATTACCGGCCACCTGGCGACCAGGAACACAAGGCCACCAAGGAGGAGGGGAAGAGGGGCCGCGGCGTGATAGGTACCCACAGCCCCCACCAGTAACAGGGCCCAGACCAGAGCACCTCCCAGCCACCTCCAACCGCAGGGACCCGCACTAGACAGGGAGGCCCAAACACAGGGACGGCAGCCAGCACTCAGAGTCCCTCCGCACAGCCCCAGGTAGACCCCCACATACATACCATACCAGGGGGGAAACCGATCAGACCCCGAGACAACGACCACCACCACCAGTAAGGCAACAACCTCGGAGAGCCCACACGGATGCAGAGCATGGCAAATAGGGCGTGCAGGGATGGCGGAAAAATGCCCCTGTCGCTGCGCCGCCAGCCTGTGTGGAATACTGTGACTGGTAGGCCGAGACCCCCAGTCATATGCACCCCACCGGGACAAACCCACAGGCCACTCCATTGAAACAGAGTCGTCGCAACTGACCCACCGTGGCAGAGTCTGCATGTGCTAGGTGGTTGCACAGCAGGGACTACAAGGATCTACAAACATCCAGCCTGTCGCCCTGATGACACTTCCTAGAGGGTCCAGTGAAAAAAAAGAGAAAGCCAGATAAGAATTCCAGAGCAAAGAACTGGAGACTTGGGTGGGGGGTTGGGCAACCCGCAAAGGCCGCCCCTAGGCTGTCTCTGTCTTTTGTTTTGTGCCTAGTGTCCTTGCAGGTGGCGATATACTCTATGGTACATGATCTTCGATCTGATTGCTGTGTCCTTCAATGAACGGAAGAGAAAAGGTGCACTGAAAGTATGATTTTCTTCTGGTCAATAACACAGTGAAGACACTTACCCAACATTCTAGTGCACCTCATGAGTGCCTCCCCCACCTTCATCCGGGTCTCAGAAGACAGCGTCTTGTTCTTTGATGATCCAGCATTGCCGTACTGTGCCAGGAGGATAGGTAAGATACGATCAGGAACGTCCCCGGAAAGCACAGCAACACCTGTCCATGAAAACCATAAAGTGTTATTAACATGATTCAGAATTCATATAATATTTTTATGTATAAAACCCCCACAACTAGAGATTGCAGCCAAGAACGGAAGGCAAAACTAATACTGACCAGATGAATTAACTCACCATTAGATGTCGGAGGACTTAAAGTAGTAATAAACTCTCAAACCTTTTTCAGTAATGAATCCAGATCAAACAAATGTGCATTGCCTAGCAAACTATTTCCTTGTATTATTGCCCACGCACTTACATGTTGCTGAACAGCTCCAACTCTCTCAGCTTGGCTTCCCTGAACTTCCTGCTGAGTGCAAGACCATAAGGGGTACAAAAGTCTCCGGCAGTTATTAATCTGTTAGCTTGGAGAAGAGAGGAGTAAGGAGTGGGAGGGAGGGTGTCTTGCCTTGCTGTGTCTGTGTGTGGAGACTAGTGATGAGCTCTGCCAATCACAGGTACTGAGACATTTCCCGATCTCTGCAGCTGCGGACCGGGAACATGTCTCAGTACCTGTGATTGGCGCTGCCCGCTGTCAGCTTCCTGGAGGGCTCGGCACGTGGAGCTGCGAACACGCCTGAGCTCATCACTAGTGGAGACACACACAGCTTACTAGCACACACAAGGGTGGCTCCATAGGACCCTGCAAGGGAAAGGAGCCACCCTAAAACAGGATATCAGGACCAGTGCTCAGGGGACCAGCTGATTCTGCAGGAAACTAAAACTTTTAAACTTCAAGGAGCAGCATCCATTGTAAGTGATTTAAATCAACATTTGAAATTGCTTAAAAACATTTTGACATTAATATCACTTTAATCATGCTTAAACAAGGACATCTGAAGTGCTATGTGCTTCCATGTCCAATGTCTGCATCGAGCTCCACCAATTGGGTGCTTAGCAAAGCTTTTGTTTGCCATTTTTCAAAATGCACACTAGCTACAGAAATTATCATGCAAGGCTTATTCCTTCTTCCCCTCATTCATCCCAATAGTGGTTCTCTGAAGCACTAGGCTATGCAGTCAGTGGTGGACCAGACGAGATGTCCAGTCGCTGGTTCAGTTACAGGACACTAGACTGGGACATATAGTGGATAATAAAGCAGCATCATTGTTCATCTTGATGCATTGACATTTTGATGACAATGTACAAGGTTTAAGCTTCTGCATTAAATGTCGCATAAGTGACTGCTAGACACAGAACTGAGACCACAAGATCTGTTTGGGCACAAGGACCCTTTTTTTTCTTTACCTACCATAGCAACCTGACAGTTTATGGTGACCTTGTAATGTTTGTTGACCAAGTATGACCCCCAGTTAAGAGACCCAGTCATTTACTCCATGCCAGCACTCACTCAATCAAAGAGGACCTGGAAGGTCAATGACCCAACTTAGGCCTACCACCTCCACTTACTTCCAAAACCCAGTGGAAATGACATGATCCATAGCTCAATGGGCTCTCGCAATTGAGTTTGTATAGGGTAGCAGGAGAGGGAGCTTTTCTCGAGAGGCTGTTACTTTTTTTTTACCCCATTTCTGACAACTTTATCTTAACTTTTTACTAGTTTGCATCCCCACTTTCCAGAATACAGTTCATCACAATGTTCTCTGTCAAATAAAGCTGCAAATAGGCACATCAAATATCATTGTAAAATACCAAACCAATTATTTTCCAGACTTTATAAATAGGCCCCTCTGTGTCTCTCTGAGCCCACCGCAGCCTCATGCATATTACAGAGTAGGACTAAACTGAACCTGTGCAGGCAACAACATGTCCTAAAACAGAAACTACAAGGTGCTGGGCCATATCTGTGTTTGGAAGTAAAATATGCCTTGTATACCATTACATTTCAATATGACACCTCTCGGAATAGCAAGGAGTGATTAGGGGGCCTTGATGCGGACACAGCTCGTCTGACTTCCCCCAAGCCCCCACAAAACTGACCTTCCTTCATGCTCCAGGGCTAATCAGTTGTGGCCAGGGCATTCTCTGCCCCGCAGCTACACGTCACAAAGGGGCAGAGATTACTCCTGCCGCAACTGATTGGGCCAGGAGTGAGTGGGGTGTGCCAGTCATAGTTTTGCGCGCGCTAGGGTGAAAATGGGTTCACACCAAGCCCCCGCACATCGTTAAGCAAGACAAAGAGGGCCACTTGGCTGTACTGTTAGATTTTCTGCAGGTACAGGTTCACTTTGCTATTCCTGTAGCTGTAGATGCACCAAGCAGTGACATGCACATCCCTTTTGAGCCTCTATTGGGTTGCTTTGAAGCTGCTCTCTGCCCTGAGAGTTCTTTATTAATGATTAGTGAGGCCTCTCAGTGGGGAGATCAAAGCTACTTCACTCTTTGACTATGGCTAGAGAACCTGGGAAGGAGCTAGAAACATAGGTGGTATTGTCTTGCTGCTACAATGGGGTTCCTATCTGCTCCCGTCCCTTCACTTCCCTCCACTCTTCCCTAAACAGTCACCATTATTATCAGTGGAGCAGATCATCATCTCAGGATGTAAATAAACCAAGCCACCTCCTTACCTAAGAAAATAAAGAACCCTATTCTGTATAAAAAGAATGCTGTTGATTAAAGCAGATCTAAACTGTTAACAGCGATATTTCCGTGTTTGCGGATGACACCAAAATTGGGAGGGTAATAGACACGGACTTAGACATTATAACATTACAGGAGGACCTGGATAAAATAGGGGAGTGGGCATTAATGTGGCAGATGAGGTTTAATGTCGATAAATGCAAAGGTAGTTTGCAGTGCCAGGCTGCTGTAAACAAAGCTAGCAGGGTTTTGTCCTGCATCAAAAAGGGGATGTATTGCAGGGAAAAGTCTATAATTTTGCCACTTTATAGATCATTGGTTCGACCTCATCTGGAGTACGCGGTCCAGTTCTGGTCACCAGTACTAAGAAAAGATGTCCTTGAGTTGGAAAAAGTCCAGCAGAGGGCAACCAAACTAATTAGGGGTACGGAGGACCAGAGCTATGAGACACGGCTACTAAATTTAAACATGTTTACATTGGAGGTGAGGAGATTAAGGGGGGATATGATTTCCATGTACAAAATGTTTAATGGTGGCAGCAACATTAGCGATAAACTGTTTAAAATTAACTCCGTTACAAAAACTAGAGGCCACCACCTAAAATTGGTGGGGAAAAAATTCCAGCACAAGGGGCGAAGGGGGTTCTTCACAGTAAGATCAGTTAGGGTCTGGAACTCACTGCCACAGACAGTGATTTCAGCAAATAATGTGGAATTGTTCAAGAAACTTTTGGACGATTTCTTAAGGGACCATAATATATAGGGGTACGGGTACTCCTAGAATGAGATCCTATAGGTTGGACTTGATGTCTTTGTTCAACCTCAAATACTATGTAAACCAAGTCACCAAAATATCATGGCAGTGGCAACAAGTTTTTCAAAACTTGTTTTCAATCCTTGTTAATTAATTGAAAGAACATCTGTTGATCCTGCCATGAGGATCATTCTTCCTGCTATTGGGTGACAACCACTGTGCTCCAGGGGTTGTCACCCTGTCACATGCGTCCCTGTGCTGCTGACGCATTCTGCAGACACGGTTCACCCTTGCCACTATTAGCAAGCCAGTCCAGAGTTACAATGTGCAGACAACACTGGACAGTGTACATGCAGGCAGCAATTGGCTGATTAAAGTTGGAGGAGATCAGCAACTCTAAGATGCAAAAAAGTGAAAACAATATTTAAAAAAAAAAGTGATTCTGATGACACAGTGCTTAAGCAAACTAAATGTCATCTAGCTAGGGAAACATTCACCACCTACAACCAATTAACACCTTTACCTCCACATTTTGCAAAGGGAAAGCAACTACTGTGGAGTCCTGGCGCCCACTAAAGCCATGAGTGTTCCCATATCCTCCACCATTTCAACAAAATAGTTCATGGAGGATCAGGGAAAGCTCCAATTGCATCATGGGAAATGTTTCTACTTTTAGCAGAAGAAAAAGTCCCTACCTACCAGTGATCATTTTCACGTTACTTCTGCTTACTGATAAAAGGTAAATTATGATGCGTCAAAAAATTTATTCATACAGACTTGTAATGTTGCTGACAGGTTCACTTTAAACACTGAACAGTCTGGTCTCCCAAATGAAATCTCACCGCTCCAATTCCTTAGCCGCCATCAGGGCTCCCCCAGGTGCTGGTCTAATAGGTGCATCTCCACTTTGGAATGTAGTAGTATATGAACAGACCGCGCTATCCACAGAAATCCGATACTTCAAACTTTATTGAAATTCACAGCAAATCCAGTGAATAAAAGTGTATAAAGCAGCAAATACCAGCACCGCACACCCCCAACCAGCTACAACCTCTCACATGTTTCACCCGTAGGCTTATTCATATTCATGGATTTGCTGTGATTTTAGGAAGGATTGGAATTGTCTGGATAGTGCGGTCTGTTCCTATACTACTACAGTCTGGTCTCCCAGTCATGGACAGCCATGTCCGGAAACCAAGACATTGGCCTTATAGCCACAGTCAAAGGGGAGGATCGGCGTTAAGGAACAGCAGCTGACACCATGCATCAGTCCTAGGCCATTTGGCTGAGCTCATGTGATGAATTCTTTGGCTTTTAATCACATGACCAGTACAGGAAGCAGCCCAGGGCAGACACTTTCAGAACAGCGATTTAAATCAGAGCTGTCAGTGTTTTGAACCTGCTTGCTGTTTTTAAATCCATTTGTCAAACTACAGCTGTGAAATTACCTTGAATTGCTGACAGGTACACAAAGGAGTCTTCTTGTTCCAGGTTATACAAGAACAACTGGGGGAAAAAAAGTTACTATTAGCATACAACTCAACAGACTGCGTCACAATGCGGCTAACAAGTTTGCCGTATCCTTACCTGCATCACCTGCTCCCTGTGCTCTATCACTTTCGGATGTCTCAGCTCCAGGAGTCGAGTGAGAGTACGCAAGGCTGCCGCCCTTGTGGGGACAATGTTGTCTGTTGCAGACTTCAGCAGCTCCTGAATATCCAGCGTGTCAGAGGTCACGTGATCTTTGGTGGGCTTCTGCTGTTTCCCTTCCATGTTGTCTGCATCCTGGCCGGCATAGGCTCCATGTGTGAGCGGGACCGCACAGTGTGTGGCAATTGTAACACGTAGGTCACTTGCCAGCTCCTGAATAACTGGCTCAGGGTGGGAGCGGGACAAGTTTTCCAGCACTGGAAGTAAACGCTTTAGATGAGTGAAATCTGAGGAGGTCAACTGAGGAAAAAAAGAACAGGCAGGTCAGGATCAGACAATACACAGGACTAGATTAACAAGTATATTAACCTATTAAGCCTTTTGTGACCAGAGCTCACGGATGCCTAGATGCCCTGGACAAATTTAGCAGTGTCAGGTATATATTTTTAAAGGAGATACAAGGCGTTTTCATTTGATGCACTGTTTTAATAATTTAAAAAAAACTGCTCTGTATCAGTTACAGGCTAACAAATGCGAACAAAATATAGATTTCTCCCTTTTTTTAAGTACTGTTATAATTTTAATAATGTAACTGCACATGACAATTACCCTATTAAATAGACACTGCAATAGACAACAGCACTGCAGCCTAAAGAAGGCAGTGTTCATTTGCAGCCTGATTGCCTATTTTATGCCAATGAAGCCTCCTGCCTGCATGTAATCACTATGTCACTACCGTCGATGGGGACTCGAGTGCTCAGTGACAGCTGTGATTGAGAGCCAACAACCACGCAAAGTGTTAGCTGTTGTCCCACAAAATGAGGGACATATATTAACATCTTCAGCATGGGGCATAGACTGCAGACAGGCAGGGGTTAAAGAACGAGTTAAAGTATTTGTATTTTTTTGTACACATACACATGGGATATTGGCCCATAACTGTGCTGAAGGCATTACTGACCAATAGCAGGATGCAGGACAGGGTGGGACAAATCAGTTCTTGCATAACAGAGGGTCTAGACATGTGATTGCATATGCAGATACCTCTAAGCCCCCCCCTTTTATTGTCTGCTACCCATTCAATACTCTTACAACAACTCACAGGTTCACTTTATTTGCAAATCTTATACAAGTGTGCTAAAGGTTTATAATGCTTGTTATGTTGTATAGTTTGTGAATCTTTATCTACATGGGAGGCAGCAGCATTCTGCATTCCGCACATAAGTGCTTTTCAAGTCTCATAATGTAAACATTACAGTAAACAATAAAAGTGACATTAAAGGCTCGCCCTACCCCCCCCC